TTCTCATATTTGCTGATATCTGTGTGGGTTTGAGGCGTTGAGGAGTCTGGCAGTTGATCCATGATATCCTTCTTGAGGCTCAACTTTTGAGGCAACGACTGATATCCAGGCTCGTTAAAAGACCTTGCCCAGGAGGTGCCCGGGATGCGCCAACTTGAAAGGGGTCCACAGATTAGATCCATTAGATGGATATGTATGCACCCCCACACGGACCTAGAGGAGATGATGTATCTCAAGGTATCGTCGCTCGAGCTGGGCAGTAGTTTCTAGGGGACTATCTTCACCGAATTTGCTTTGGAGATCGTTGACTGATACTGGTGACCTTTGTTGCTATCATGTCATTGGTGCGTGCTCCTGAACTTGTCAAAATGAAGCGAGATTCCTCGATCGTTGACTGTCCAATACTCTGCTTACCTGAGGGTCTTCAAGACAAGGCATCGATTTAAAGAGAACAAAGAAAAACGTGAGCGCGGTTGCAGCGGTCCGCCCTATACCTGTCCGCTGGTCCGGACTTCAGGCCATCCAAGCCCCACGTTGCTTCCAGAGGTGCGCTTCCAGCTGCCAACCTGGCGGGCTTCAGAGGAAGAAGCAAGTGCAGCAGCGGTTAGCTAAGACACATTCTAGGTACCTAGGTAAGGTGGGTTAGGTACCTTTATGGAAGGGAGCTGCTGGCCAAGGTACACACAAATAACAGGTATTTCTAGTCATGTGCAATACTCAAAGATACTTGGGGCAGGCTCAAAACACGGACACACACCCGCCACAGTACACCCCCCCGCCCGGACCAACCACCGGCCTGGCCTGGCCTGGCCCAGTGAATAGCAAATTTATCTCATCTTTCGCTCCATCTCGAAATTCCCCAATTGACGCATTTTGCTCTCCTCTTCAGCTTCTGCTTCTCTTCCTTTCGCTTCCCTTTCGCTACGTCGATACGTCTCCGACATTCTCTCCCTGCCGCTGACTTCGATCGTTCGAGGGAAATCTTGTCCTTTGCACCTCTTTCTGCCTCTTGTTAGCTTCTGCTATTTGCGCTGCTCCAGAGAATTTCGTCGTGCTCAGCCGTTGTCGGACCACTTGCCAGTGGACACTACGAAACCAATTCGACTCCGAGTCACCTCAAACACCCAGTTTGTGACCTGCTGAGCATCGCTCGATTATTTCCGACAACCCAATTGCTGTGAACTCGTTCCATCCTTTTCGGAGCTTTTCTTTACCCCTCCGAGCGACTACGATATACAATGTCCAAGCTTGCTGTGGCCAAGGAGGCCGTCAAGGAGGCCGTCATCGGCACACACGAACCTGAACAGCTTGCTGCCCACACCAAAGCGCGCTTCACCAAGCATGCTATCAAGGACCCTGAGACAGGCGAATTGTTCCTCGGACCCGATGAGTTTATCAACGCTGTTGCGCCTGAGGGTGAGGATTACGTGAGTTACGCACTCCTGCTTCAAGCAAGCTGTAGCCAAGCTTGTATACTCGCAAGGACTTACTAACCACTCCCAAAACAGCATAAGATCTCCCGTGATCAATATTCCATTCTATTCAGCGTCGCGGATGTCAATGGCAAGGGCAAAGTGAGTCTTGCTGACTGGGGTATTTTCGAGCACCTCCTCAACAAGCCGGATGCCGAGTATCAGATCGCTTTCCGCCTCTTTGACGTTGAGCGCACCGGCTCTGTCAAGTATGACGATTTCCGCACGTTGTACGAGCTCAACAAGGGCCCCGACAACCTAACCTTCGACTGGGACTCGGATTGGGCCAAGATTTATATTGGTAACAAGAAGCACCGGCACCCTCTCGACTATCCTCAGTTCTGCCAAATGTTGCGCGGTCTCCAAGGCGAGCGCATTCGGCAAGCCTTCCACCAGCTTGACAAGGACGGCGATGGCTTCATCAGTGGTGAGGAATTTGAGCGCATCATTGTCGAGACTGCCCGCCACAAGCTGTCTGAGCATATTCTTGACAATCTGCACACTCTCGTCAATCTCTCCATTGGTTCCAAGATTTCATACGCCAATGTGCGCGCTTTCCAGAACGTCATCGGCGGGATGGATCTCGTTGAGCTCATCTTGCGCCGTGCCATTGACCAGAGCAAGGACGGCAAGATCACTCGTCCTGAATTCTTGAACGAGGCTGCCAAGCTCACACGCTTCTCCCTTTTCACGCCAATGGAAGCTGACATTCTTTTCCACTTTGCCGGTCTCGATGAACCCTCTGGCCGCCTAGGACTCTCTGATTTTGCTAAGGTCCTTGATCCTTCGTGGCGGAACCCCATTTACGACGCCGTCGAGGCTACAAAGGCCAAGGTTGCCGGTGGTGGTATTCTGATGGGTGTTCTGACCTCGGGTTACAATTTTGCTCTGGGTAGTGTTGCTGGTGCCTTTGGTGCCTTCATGGTGTACCCCATTGATTTGGTGAAGACGCGACTGCAGAACCAACGAGGCGCCCAGCCCGGTCAGCGCCTCTACAAGAACTCGATTGATTGTTTCCAAAAGGTCATCCGTAATGAGGGATTCCGTGGTCTCTACTCGGGCGTGCTACCCCAGCTTGTTGGTGTTGCTCCAGAGAAGGCCATCAAGCTGACCGTGAACGATCTTGCCCGAAAGTACTTCACTGATAAGAACGGCAACATTACAGTCTTGTCCGAGATGATTTCTGGTGGTTCTGCTGGTGCCTGCCAAGTTGTAAGTCCACCAAATTATTCATAACCTGATAGAAGCGCCACTGACCAGCCTACCACAGGTCTTTACCAACCCTCTCGAGATTGTCAAGATTCGACTCCAAGTTCAGGGCGAGGTCGCCAAGACCGTGGAAGGAACACCGAAGCGATCGGCCATGTGGATCGTGCGCAACCTGGGTCTCGTTGGATTGTACAAGGGTGCTTCGGCGTGTCTGCTTCGTGACGTTCCCTTCTCGGCCATTTACTTCCCTACCTACAGCCATCTCAAGAAGGACTTCTTTGGCGAGTCTCCGACCAATAAGCTGGGTGTTTTGCAGCTACTGACTGCTGGTGCGATCGCCGGTATGCCCGCCGCCTACTTGACGACACCCTGTGATGTGATCAAGACCCGACTTCAGGTCGAAGCCCGCAAGGGCGAGGCCACATATAACGGTCTGCGACACGCAGCCAAGACAATCTGGAAGGAGGAGGGCTTCACTGCCTTCTTCAAGGGTGGTCCCGCACGTATTTTCCGATCCTCTCCTCAGTTCGGCTTCACCCTTGCCGCATATGAAGTTCTTCAGACTCTTCTACCCATGCCCGGTACTCAGAAGGAGAAGATTCCTACAGGAGTGTCAGATGCTGTGTCGACGGTCAAGGGCAGCCTGGACACTAGTCCATATGGTCGCAGCCGCAATGCCCTTAAAGTGATCCTCGATCTTGATGAGGACTTTGGCAAGGTTAAGCTTCCCAACGAGAAGGGCTGGCGATCGCTGCCCAAGATCATGGGCGGTGGTGGTCAGTAGATGGATGGACAAAATGATAGAAATGACAGGGAGAGTCCAGAAAACGGAAGAGTTGAGGTTTTTGCTCGAGGTTAAAGAGGACGCAAGATTGACGAAAGCGATTGTCCGGTGACTGCTCGGCTATTACGCCTCGATAAACGGCCCATGGCCGGGCTTCGATGTCCGAAGCACGACCCGCCCGTGTCAATTACCGGACAAAGCCGAGGAGATATTGCATCGAACCCAGTACCCAGCAAGACCGAAAACCTCTTGTGATGAAATCTCTCTTTTGGATCTATGTTTTCATTTAGAGCGAAAGACAAAGACAAAAGAACGGGGATAGATGGAAGATGGGATACAAAAAAGAAGCAGGATGAGATAGAGATAAATCGGATATCCGGTTCCTGGCGGAGCGGAGCGGGCGAGGGAGAGCGTCTGCTTCTTTTGCATCAGACTCGGCGTTCTGGGGCATTCAAAGGGCATGATGGGAGCTGTATTTTTACCACCCTTCACTATGTTATGTTTAGAGTTCAGTGTTATTGTTACTATAGCTTGTTTGAATCCTTTTGTGGAAAACAAAACGTGTTCATGAATTATGTGTGGCGGTTTAGTATTACATCCATGGCAATCAAGTGTAGGTAATAGGGCGCATTCACGAAGCGTATCTGGCCAACATGATCGTTTGAGCGGCAAGATGACTAGAGACTTCAGTCTCAAAGACGTCAACAATTTAATTGCTTGGCAGGGGAGCATCGGAACCTGTGAGCAATCTATGTCGAAACAGTGAAAATGAACTGATGATCAGAAAACCAGATCCTAAAGCATGATTCCTATTTAATACGTTATACACTGAAGCCATGCCATTCATTGTTCGACGAGTTCATGACTGTAATCCTCAACTTAAACTTAGCAGCCTCTTGATTCCTTTTCCTCGTGATAGGTCTCTCTTGTAGGTTTGATTATAGAAATTGCATCAGTACTTAGAGACCAGAACATACGAGGATGATGCTTTTTTGTGACATCAAATGCAACATTCTGATGCTCTTCGGGCCCACAGTGGCTAGTAGATAGAGTTAGACTTGATACATCATAAAATATGTAATATACTTCTAGCACTTTCATGCATTTATCTTAATGATGTAATAATCCTCAAGTACAGCTGCGGGCGCAATGAGTAGGTATTCAATCAACTGAACGTCCACCATCTTGTGAAGGTTGCGTGGACGCAGTAGAACAAAGAATCCATATTGTTACAGTGCTGTTGAAAACAGTAAGACTTTGATTAAGACAATGATATAATTCTATTATTTATGGAGTGCCAATACCATGGTTGACAACTGAAATTGATCTGATGCGCCTTTCATTATGCGCAGTGGGAATATCTAAATCAAATTCACATTTTCCGACGCCTGTTGAATTACCAAAACTCCAAAGCCTATGTGAATAGACAGATTCGTCACGTTCGTTAATGCTTTTGTTCGCCGTTGCTTCAAATCCAAGAAACCCATACACCGAAGCAGACTCGCTGAACGGGAGAAGAGAGTAGAGTAAGCAGCTTAATAGTGAACAGTAGCTAGTCTCTGGATCCAACCAGCTTGCTGCTGAGGTTCATACTCGGGAACCTTGGAACCAGGTTCAGTCATCATGCACATCTTGAGCCATTCGACGTAGTCCTCGAAGCCAGTTGTGCTGCCAGTGACATTGACCTTCTTGACGCCCCTGACACCCTCAAACATGCGTAGATTGCGATATCCGACGCCGAGGAACATGGACTGAACAACGTCAATGGTGAGCTCGTCAAGTCCGCTGTACGCTTTTGTCACGGCATCAGCGTCGTAGGGGAGATCGACGTCGAGGCGGACTTGGGTATGGAAGCGGCGGATGCTTGGGATGATGGATGACTCCTTGACGGGGCCGTACCAGTTTCGGAGGCGAGGAAAAGAGGTGAGCAGTGTGGGGTGAGAGAGGAATGTGTTGCAGCCGTAGAGAAGATCTGTAGCTTCATCGTGAATCTGGCGGTTGGTGCGGAGGAGAGAAGCATGGACTTTTTGTTCAGGGCATGGTCGGCCACATCGGGTGTAAGGCGCTGTGAGGAGGAGTTCATCGTAGATTTCCAGACGAATCTCAACCGGGAGGTCAAGAAAGCCGGTCTTGTGGGGTTCTTCTTGTTGTTGGATAGTAGTGGCCATGGTGATTGTTGGTATTCAAAGTATAGTGATGCAAGTGGTGGTTTAAATTGGCAGGGAGTAGATTGAGCAGAGTCGAGATGACTAGCGGATGTTGACGAGATCTTAAATCAAGCTGGGAGAGCTGCTAGACTGATGAATGACTAGGTAGGCTAGCTGTTGTTGGCTTGAATGATGTTATCCAATAGTGGTGTTGGTGTTGTAGTGCCGATCTTTGAGGCGTTGAGTCTTATGATATGATAAGATTGATGAGCGTGTAGAGATATGTTGTTGCTGTTGGGAATGATACGAAGGGGAGAGGAAGCAAGAAAGGAGGAGACTGAGAGATGATATATATGCATTAGACATTACAAGGTGAGCCAAGAGAATTGACCTTGGAATTAGACGTGGTCGTGGACATGGCCGATTGACGGACACGCCCTCCCAGGTTCTGACCTTGAACTTACGAGACGCCAGGGCCAGGAACTAAAAAGATTACAGGGATTATGGGTTAGACCAAGGACGGGGACGGGATGGGATGTACATGCAGAACCGCTCATGATTGTGTGGGAACCAAGGTCACTTTCTGAGCCACGCAATTGATATTTGGGTGACAATTGGTTCCATTCGAAGATAGGTAGGTATGCAAGTACATAGAATCTTTATCTTAGCTACACACCCTGCAATGAACGAATGGATCACATCACACGGTGACTGACGTTGACCGAAAGATTGAATTATCGCTTTTTTCCCTTGGTGTATCCAAATGTGTCTTGATCTTAGTGGCATACATCCATACCTGTCAGCGAGATAAGCTGAGCTGACTCGCGCTGGCTTTAACTCTTGTGAGCTGAATTGACGAAGTGAGCATAAGCAAGTGCCGATCTCCTGAGTAAAGGTTGTGCAGCCAGCCATCAAGACCAGACTATTAGTTATGTACCTGATGACGAGTCAAAAAAAAGAAAAAAAGAGATTGATTTGATGGCGGTGACTGTCGAACAGTGTAGCCTATTGCTGTGGTGTTGCATCAAGGCATAGATAGAGTTGCACAATGCCGAATGCCGGGCGCCTAGGAAATAATACGGATCTTCGTGTCAGAGTTAGTACATACAGCCACAGATATGAGACTGAGACTCATACTCCATACTGATACTGATATTCATGAGCTGAGCATAAGGTGACAAGTACCGTCCCGGTGCCGAGCGATGCCCCGTACGGAACGGCCGTTTGGCAGGGGTTAAGATCGGGAGCCAGAGAGGCCCCCTTTTTTAAACCTCTAGCGATCTAGGATCAGGGTCTAGGCTCTGCGATGGTTAATTGGTGTTTCTCTCCTTCAAGCTGTTTAATCAAGTGTTGATGGTGGAATCGTCAAGATAGTTACGTCACGATCATGGAAGATGAATGGGCAACGCCTCAATCTCATGGTGTTGTGTGCAATCTTGATCACAGAGGCTGAGGGGCGGCTGGAAACGGAGGCTGAACGCCGTCATCAAATCAACCTGCCTCTATTCCCAGCTCTTCTCAACCCCTGCGAGCTCCATTGTTTGATGTTTTCCTCTCAGAATAAGTCGACTCATGTGGGTTTCCAGACCACTGATTCACCAAGGCTCGGAAATAGCACGGCATGCATCAGTATAGCCACAGTCGACGATGCAGTAGATAATACGACCTAAACCAACCGGCAGTGTAAAAATAAAACAAAAAGAAACTTACCGCGCATTCCATTTGGTTCACGATGCCCACTTCGGCTCCGATCCTACCGACGACGACAACTCTCTCAAGAGAATAACCCGCGAGGGACCTCCCAGTCTCATATAGATCGTGTCCGGCCTCTTCCGATTCTTCTCATCACTATCTACGGGGCCCACATTTTGAGCCTCGTCTGGCCTCGTCTGGCGTGCTTTTTCACTTCTGGCATGATCCTGCGGCTGCGGCTACGGCTGCGGCTCTGCAATTCCCACACCGCTCGCTACCGAGACAAGGGTCTAAGGTGAGAAGCATCATGTTAAACACGTTCTGGAAAATAAAACAACATCTTCGAGGGGGCGTGCAAGGTCAAAGTTGGATCCACTCGTTCAAGATGTCAGGGCGTCTTCGGGCAATTCCCGTAGATGGAAGCTTCTTTGATGCTATGATTCACGGGTCAATGCCCAAGCTTCTAATATTCTTGGAGTATTACTCCGTAGCATCAACTCTTCTCGGTGTTATTGTTGCATTTGTTTTGGGTGAAATCAAATCTGCTCGGATGTTCTCCGTGTGGTTGATGAGCGAGCTGTAACATGAAGCTTTGATCATGATAAGGTGAAGCAAGCATCAGCATCTCGAAGGGGGTTCTTCGTCACACTGAGCTCCTGTTCTCTCCAATTTAGTTCACAGCGATTGATTGCCAATTCCATATCCAACATTTCCATCACGATGGGACCTAGAGTTGTTAGATTGATCGGCTATTCCTAATTGGCTCATGCAGCCACAATCGGTGCATCAGCCACACTTGTGCAACCACTTCCACCTCACCATTGGGTCTTGATTTGGCATTGGAAGTCACGAAAATACGTACCGAGATGGCGTCAGAGCACATGAGTGTTCGCTTGATGTCTCATCCCAAGACTCATTCATTCATCTCCACGGTCACACGATTCATCGCTAGAGTCCTCAACAGCCTCGACTCTCTCTCATGAGCATCGAATCCCCTCGTTCTCTCTCTTTTTCACTTCATCTCAGTCTTGACGCGTAACAACGCCAGGATACGAGACTGTAGATAACAATGGCTGTCGGCTTCCTCACGTTCCTTTCAGGCCTCTTTGGATGGGTTTATTTCCTCGCCTGGAGCGCGTCCTTCTATCCCCAGCCCTTGCTGAACTGGCGTCGTCGCTCCACCAGCGGCACAACTATCGATTTTCCCTTTATCAACGTCCTCGGTGAGTGCCCAACAGCAATGTGTCCTTATACCCGTACCCCCAGGGCCTAGTGAATGGCATGGTATGAGTGTCAGAATGAACAATATACACCCCCCTCCTCTCTCACCTCAGTCAGCCCGGCGGTTTGTCGCCATGCCGTCCCGGAATCCTGGACCTGATCACATCCTGGTCCATATCTCGTACAGTTCCTCTCATCATGCTAACAGTGTTCGTACCTATCAGGTTTTGCTGCATACTTTAGCTCGAATGTAGCTTTCTACTATTCGCCAGAAATCCGTGCTCAGTATGCTGCGAGACACAGAGGCCTCGAGTCCACCGTGCAATTCAACGACATCACTTTTGCTCTCCACGCTCTGTTCTTGTCCATCATCACAACCTCACAGTATTTCGCTCCATCGCTGTGGGGATTCACCCCGAATTCTGGAAACCGACCCAGTCGGTTTATTCTAGGGGTAGCAGCTGGCTGCATCACTGGGGTCCTTTTGACATGTGTTATTGTTGCTTCATCTCCCGGAAACGATGCCGTCTATGACTGGGTTGCCCTTGATATTGTCTACGCCGTAGGCTATGTCAAACTTATTGTCACTTTGATCAAGTACACTCCCCAAATCGTTACCAACTACAACAACCAGAGCACCGACGGTTGGAGCATCTCCCAGATCTTACTGGATCTTACTGGCGGTGTCCTTAGCGTCAGTCAGCAGGCCATCGATAGTTATCAGCAACGCGACTGGAGCGGTATCACCGGTAACCCGGTCAAGTTTGCTCTTGGCAACATCAGCATGGTTTACGATACCATCTTCATCATCCAACACTACGTTCTGTACCATGACTCAGAGAAGCCGCAATCTAGCGGTCGGGAGAATCAGAGATTGTTGGATGAGGAGCGAAGAGCGGAGCGCAGCGAGTGATATAATCGTGTTTGACTAGAAAACAGCGACGGACACTGTACTGGTGCATCTTTGTGGGTGGTGTTTTAGTTTGTGTATTGGAAACTCTCGGCAACACGATCTGCATTGCATGATAGAATACGGACCATGAGCAATACATTTTGGGCATCGCGGAGTCATATGGCCTATCAAATGGCAGATAGACATGGCTGTTCAAGGCACACGATATGGTGGCTGCATTTGGATAGCTGGAGAAGACTCAGCTTGGGTTTAGCATCAGGCTCAATAATATCAGCATGGCCACAAGCCAATAGTAGCTTTCATGTCAACCTCCCTCATGTTGATGCGACCCCTTGATCTGACTCCCCTGGCATTGATCTTGGATATCTAAGCTGGCACTACGACATATCTGAGCTGTTGTCGTGGTGTGCGAAAATCCAACGTATTCAGGCTATTTATTGAGCAACGTCACAGCTGAGACAGGAGCTATTGGTTTTGACTGAAGCTGAGCTTATGCTGACCATGCCGTATGACATAGTTCACTGATCGTATATATCGACGAATGCGGCTACACTCGCACCATTCAATTCTATTCTTCTCAGATTTTCTGATCATGTTTGGTATTCTCTATTACCGCGTGGAAGTGTATGTCCGCTGATAATCCGATTCTTGATGGTAGTTGGTCGGTTGGTGGACCAACCTGGCTCGTAAGCATGCACAATTAACAAAAGGGGGACTCGTCAAGCTGAGCAATTTGCAATTTGCAAGTTCTCCTCTGATCACAGTGATGCTTTGTTTTGGCCGCGCTGACTGTTTTTCTACTCGCAAGGAGATGTGAGCTCAGCATCTTCCCCGCTCTGCAGAATTGAAATAAACAGAATATACGTACGTATACAGACCGAACACTAAAATCATTTCAAGGAAACTAGCAGTGTCTCTGTAAAGATAAACTCTGATCGATGCATAACCATTATGGACAATAAATTAGTTGCTCAAGTTGAAGAGTATTTTATATTATATTGAACTCTAATGGTCCACAGGAGCAGTCAAGTAACCAGAAAGTCCACGTTCTTCTACAACCAAAAAGTGAGTGACAAATCCTTACCTTACATACATCGTAACGTAGAATAGAAAGAATCCTCATAGAATAAGAGAAAAATGCAAAAGCCATTAATGTCTAAATGATTCGCACTTTGGCTCGGCAAGAGACAAGTGC